TTCCCACTCCGCAGCCTTCCAGGTCCCTGCTGCTCATTGCTGTTACCTACTTCTGAATGAAATGAAGTCAGACAGGTGATAAACTATTGGCTTTCTAAGCAAAACATTGTCTCTGCTCCCAGAAATGCTCCCTGGCCTTGTACACGCATGCAGAGACCTCTCACCCCCGAGCTGGGCACCCCAGGGTGCACAGCTGGCTGCATCTGGGCAGTTCGGTTGTTGGTTGGGACGTGGCAGTCCAGCTCTGGTGTTATTGCTGAGGAGTATACACCCAGAATCCCGCAGCCTGCGTTAACTTAATGAGAGAATCTGAACTGTGTGCATTAACGACTCGCTGTTGGATGACCTCTTTGAGCTGTCCATAAAAAGCATTTCTGTGACTGTGTCCCAGCAATATCCTGAGTTTAGTTACCACTGTTGATCTCATTCCAGGTCTGGACTGGTAAGGGAGCTACAAGCTTTCAGGCTTAGATGTAGTGTGTATATATATATATTTATATATCCATATGTATGTCTTGTCTGTGTGATACAAAAATGGTAATTTCACCTGTTACGGGTGGAAAAGCAACTGCTGGTCGTACACAACAGGAGACACTGGTGGTGGCTGAAGGAGGGAGCGTGAATCCAGCGCAAGAATGTGCTGTTCCAATCCCATTTATAGCACTAGATTAAAAACAGGATGTGCCTGAAAGCAAACGGGGCTTCACCCCAATGAGTCCTAATACAGTGAAACTGCAGTGGGTTAGGAAAAGCCGCAGAGAATAGCTTTTCCATGAAAACTGGAAGGGGAATGGCAGGGGGCAGAGTGTAATAACCTGGGCCTGGGTCTCCTTGGTGCTAACTGCTTTCAGCCTGCTTCTGCAACTTTCCTCCTCTTCTTTTTCGTGCGCAGTCCGAGCTCGCTGGCAGCCCCATCTAGTCGCTGCTGGAAAGGCAGGGAGCAGGCAAGGATGCAGACACAGGGGCAGGCAACGCCTCTGGGATTTGGCAGCTTTTCCAAACTTAAGAAATTCGAAGAGCTGTGAATTTCCCTGTAATTGCCCGTATTTCCCAGAGCTGAGGCCCTTTCCCAAACCTCCTTCTCCAGCTGCCAGCAGTGATCACTGACATGTGCCTAACAGTCACTTTTCTGCAGGAGAGGTGGTGCCAGCACCGTTCTGTTGCAGAAAAAAGAAAGCATTTGGATTGTAGTCTGTTAGTCCTGTGTTAAAGTGGCTAAAATGATGTTGCCTCTTTTCTTCCTCCTGCTCCTCCTCCTCTTTGTGCCTCTGCCTTGCCCATTCTCCGCCACGCATGCTTCTGTGTTCAGATCCTGCCTCTCCTAAGAAATGCAGAGCTCGCTTTGGCCTCAACCAACAAACGGACTGGTGCGGCCCGTGCAGGTGTGTATCAGCATCTCCTCGCTGCCGGGGTGCTCCTGGGCGAGCGGGTTCGGCTCCGTGCGGGCTCCTGCAGCCATCCCAGCGCTGGCGAGGGCTGCTCCGGCCAGGCGGGGATGGGGTTCCCTGGGCACCGTTGTCAGGAGTTGTCCGAGGGTCAGGCTGACCCCTGGGTGTCCTACTTGCCCCGGGCAATGTTGGTGTAATGCTGGTGTTCCTCGGCTGGTGGACTTCCCTGGTGCTAAAAGCGTAATTCCAGGGTGGAGAGAGACCTCTGTGACGATGATGTGGGGCGGTTTTTCCCCTTGGTACAGATTTCCTATTGCGCGGGGCTGGCAGTGAGTCGTTAACGTGTTTGGTTTTCCTATTTACACTGGGGCTGACCACGTGTTTCGAGATCCACCACTTGGCCCTGACGTTTCACAGTCCCCACCGCGGATGGGGTGGGAGAGCCCCCAGCACTGGGACGGTTTGCCCTGTGCCTTGGGCTCCTGGGGAACAGAGGTAGCCAGGCCAAAGCTTAGTGCATGAACCAAGTGCTACCTGAGGGGGTCTGCAGCTGCATCCCGGCAGGAAAAGCTCACGGCGGGGGCTTCTGAACCTGGGCACCAAAGGAGGGAGTGGCACGTGGACAGGGGTCTGCGACTCAGAGCACGTTGTTATAGCAGGGCCTTGAGGACTCGAGCAAAATCCGGCGGTGGAGGAGTGTTTAATGTGCTTGGCACAGCCCAGAGGGACTGAAACCCTTTAGTCTACCTGAATCTGGATCCCGAAGTGCAGCCCTGCAGAGCCCCGGTGGTGCTGGGCCACTGACCGGCGGCAGCAGGTTGGGTCCCGCTGGCTGAGCGTGGGGTGAGCTCCTGCTGCTCTGCCACAGCAAACACCCCCCCTCGCCTTTACCCCCCCGGGGGAATCATCAAGCAGCACTTTTTAACTGGTGAAGAATGTGGACTGAGCTCCCTGAATGTCTTGTTCACCTTGAACATCCCAGGGGGGTTCCCCGACCCCCCATTGCTCTCCCGGCGCAGGGCACGACTCTGGATCTTGGGGAGGTTCCTTCAAACCTGGCTTTGAACTCTCTTAATTCAGCCTCTCTGCACTGCTTCCCAATTAACATGGGCTGCTGAACTGCTCCAAGACCTTGGCATGCTTTTGGGCTTTATCCTTTGCCTCCCAAGGCCCGGTTAGTCCTTGCCGTTCGCAATTCCCTGTGCCAGCGTGCTGCTCCTGCTGTACTCCGGTCACTTGCGGAGAGCGACTTCACCGGAGGGTTCCCACCCCACAGGAGAGGTTAACTGGTTAAAACTGGGTGTTCCTGCCTTTTCACCCTCCTCACCCCAGCCAACTGCTCCAGGGTGCTGTAGCTCCCACAGGGAGAGGGATAAATCCCTTTAACAGCCACGTCAGCCCACGAACCGCTTCACGGTCAGCAACCCGCAGTGTTGGATCTGCTTTTCCTCCCTGTTATTTGAAATCAAATCAGGGAATCTGCAGATGGATCTGTGTCGTTAACCGGCTCGTTGGAACTCCCCATCCTGCAGCTACTCCTGAGGTGGCTGTGGGAAGTAACAGCTTCTCCTTGGGGCTTTGTCTGCTCTGGGAAATCACAGCCCCTGCAGTAACCTCCCAGTTAAACACTCAGTTGAGCGGCGCTGTTGCCTTCCCTATCGCTCTAATTGGGTCACCACGGCTAACGATGGCCCTGACAGCAGTAGTAGTGCTGCTCTTGTTCCCAGCCCGTCTGAAGTCATGTTTAATACTGGAGTAGTTAATACGTATTCCAACACCGTCTCGTTTTTCATTAGTGAGATCAAAGAAAGGTGGGTGCCCGCATTAGCAAGTGCTCCATTTGATCTGTTTTCCTCAAATGAGACAGCGGAGGCAGGGAGCCGGGCGGGAGGAGGATGTTCTGCTGAGCCGTGAAGTCATTAATACCGTCCCCAGCAGAGGAATTGTTCCCTCGCTGCTATTAAGGTGACATCTCGAGAGCTCTTTTGTTTGTAGCGAGATGCTGGGGGACCCGTCGCGGGTGACGTGAGGGATCTGTCATGCAAAGGGAAGGAAATCCAGCTCGGCACGTAAAGACAGCGCGAGGGGCTGACTGCGCGTAGCCAGGAGCGCTTACGGCAATGGGGGCGTTGGAGATGAGGGCTGAACAGTCACGGTTGCGATACGACCAGAGTTGGGATGTGACGGGATCGTGCCCAGATCCAGTTACAGTGAGGACTCGTGTTTTTGGGACCCCCAGACCGTAACAAGTGTATCCTGAGTATCTTCTCTGGGGGACACACGGGAGGCTGGTCCCTGCTCCCCGATGCTGCTGTCTTTGGGATCTTCCCGCTCCCAGTGGGCTTCTTAGTAGGAAGGTGGAGCCGGGGGAGGAGTTGCCTTCCTGTAAAAACCCCCTTTTTGTGAGTAAATCTTCCCCGCTGGTGAGCTCCATTGGTCACGCTCCACGGAAAGGAAGTGTGGAACTTGTGTGGCTGCGGGTTTGTTCAGGTCCTTCTGCCTCGTCTTCCTCCCTGGCACCTGTCTGCGGTGCGTTTAGTGCCTGCACCCCTGCTCCCTGCGGGAGAGCTCACAGCAAAGGTTTCAGGGAATCATGGAACAGTTTGGGTGGGAAGGGACCTTAAATCCCACCCCGTCCCACCCCCTGCCACGGGCAGAGACACCTTCCATAGACCAGGTTGCTCCAAGCCTCATCCAGCCTGGCCTTGGACACTTGCAGAGGTGGAGCAGCAGTGTCCGGGCTGTCGGCAGTTGGGAAAGTTGATCCACCAGGAACAACAAGCCTTGTGAAGGGCTCAGGATGAGTCCAACACCCACAGTGGGACCCCAGGCAGCCTCTGGCTGCGCCTTCCTCTCCCTGCATCTCTGCTGAGCCCCTTCCCCCAGCTGCGTCACCGGCTCAGCACGAGGGGTGGGAGCGAACACGGAGCATCGGGAGGCAGAGGCAGCCGAGGTCAGGGGCTTCTGTTGTAGAAATAAGAGCCAAGTGAACGATATTGCGCACGAGGTGAGCAAGGGGCTGGGAGCGGGCCACGGGCAAAGGTGCTCCTAAGCCCTTCGGAGTTGGGGCCGAGCTGCGGCTCGGCCTTAGGAGAGGAGCCAGACGGGGCGCGGAGGGC